ATCACAACAGTGTCGTCGCTGCTGAAATCACGGCTAACGCTTCGCCCAGTTACCACACTCGTGCTGAACATAATTAGACATTGATAGGCATATGTCTGGGTGGGGAATTTTATTGCGAGTTCAGTGATATTAAAATAAGCGCTGTAGGATGACTGTGAGGCTGGCAACAAACGAAAGAGTATGAACATTTACTTCCTGTTTGGGTTTCACGGCGAGTCATCTTCGTGTTTATTTACTTCGTGGTGGGATAGCAAATGCTTGGGTGACATTTTATGCACATGATCTTGTAGAGAATTTTATTGCCAACGCATTGATACCAAAATGAAAAACGTAGCTCGAGAATTGATGTTAGGAGCGTGAAAAGATTATACACTTTTTTGTGTTTACGCTTGAGCGCCCAGAACGCCGCGCGCACAACCCGCTTAATTTTTTTTTCACGAGTGCCGCGCGCACTAAAGTGATAATTTTTTTTTTTTTTGAGATATATACAAGAGTTGTTACATTCTTGTAGAGCCACTAGTACGCGTAGCGTTTCGGGCAGGTCCCTGGAATACGATCCCCTGCCGCGAAGAATCGTTTTTTCATCCAAGTACACATTTTACTGTTGCGTTAAACAGAGGCTACAGTTAAGGAATTGCGCCCAGTAAATCCTCCCCGGCCAGGATACGAACCCATGACAAAGCCCTCGCGGAACGCCAGGCGAGTGTCTTACCACTACACCACGGAGACTGGAATTAATTAATAAATTATTAATTAATAGAATAAAAAGGTGCAAACCATACTCCTTACAGTTGAAATCTATTTATTTATATACACGAAGGTCCATTGGGTTGTGAGAGTACATAACATTTGTTAAGAGTGTAGCAATCTTAAGATAATCTATAAGATAACATTTGTACATTGTAGCAAAATTTGAGTTGACGGAGTGGGTAGCACAAGATACAGTGTGAGTTTGAAACACATTTAGAAACAAGAAGGCTAATAAATTAGCCTCCTTCGCCGCCGAAGAAGGCTAATTTATTATGCACCCCATACTCAACCAGTGAGTAGTGAAGCAAAACATAGATTACCATGGCCATAAAGTCTTAATCAGACCTCAGTGGTTATTTTTACATTATCATTTACAACTAACTTACCGTAGTGTTTGAATGACGATGAAGGAAGGACTCAATACACGTGAAAATGTGTTATTAAACCAAATTTTGGGACGAACTTACATTTATCAAGGTTCATCAAATAGAGAGAGAGAGATCTGGGGGGGTTGATATCACACCGAACCTGTCCCCAGAGGCCCACATCAAAAGGATATCATCAGCGGCATATGTTAGATTGGCCAACGTTAGAACTGCCTTTAGAAAATTGTGTAAGTATATACCAGCTCAAATATCAAGGATTGACGTCTACTAGAAAGGGTAATTACATTTTCTATAGAAACAGTAAAGAGCAACAAATCTTTCAGATTCAGATTCAGAGAGATCCTCTGTTAAAGAGATCCTACTAACCGCAAAATTATTCTTAATGAAGCTAAATTGACATATATAATTAATTAAGAGGAGAGACTACGGGAATTAAACCTCACGTCACTGGGAGACAGAAGAGTTAGAGGGAACATGATCACCACATACAAGATTCTCAGAGGAATTGATAGGGTAGATAAAGACAGACTATTTAACACAAGGGGCACACGCACTAGGGGACACAGGTGGAGTGCCCAAATGAGCCATAGTAGAGTCTTATTTTTGCCCGAAACGCATTGCGTAATAGTGGCTTTAGGCATTGTATGTACTAGCTCTATCTATATATCAATCCATTAATGTAACATCACTTGTATGTATGTACCTTACCTGAATAAACATATTTATATTTATTTATTATTTATCTGTCTTTGACACATTCGGGACATCCGTTATGTGCGTACTAACATACTAACCTTAGAATAACTTCGGAATGGGTACGTCAGCATTCAACATTGAGCTGCGACCCGAGTTCCCCCCCCCCCCGGAGTTATGTGGAAAGTTCCAATTACACTGATACATCCTTATTGTATCATAATACATCATCATTGTATACTAGGCGGTGCCATGGGATACTATACTAGGGATACATTGTATACTAGGCGGTGGGAGCCGGTCGGCCGAGCGGACAGCACGCTGGACTTGTGATCCTGTGGTCCTGGGTTCGATCCCAGGCACCAGCGAGAAACAATGGGCAGAGTTTCTTTCACCCTATGCCCCCTGTTACCTAGCAGTAAAATAGGTACCTGGGTCATATACCTGAGTAAAATAGTCAGCTGTCACGGGCTGCTTCCTGGTGGTGGAGGCCTGGTCGAGGACCGGGCCGCGGGGACACTAAAAAGCCCCGAAATCATCTCAAGATAACCTCAAGAAGATAGGCATAGTATCTATTAACCCTACTAACTGTAGTACTAATATAAATTAATAATTTCCTATGTGTGCATCATTTACTACAATTCTCCCCACATCGAGGGGCAGTATTGTGTCAGATAATGTCCAGCAAGGCGTAATTATTGTCAATATGCTAGAGAATTGAATAATATTCTCAACCTTTATCAGTATTCTTTACAAGAATTAGTACCTTATTTATTTTATTTTATTTATTTATTTATACACAAGAAGGTACATTGCGTTAGAGAGACTACATAGCATAATATTTACAATGTTGTAAAGCCACTAGTACGCGCAGCGTTTCGGGCAGGTCCTTAATCTAACAGATAATTTTAAGTAGGTAAATTCTAGCAGAATTAATAGTGGGAAGGCATCTTCTGTCAGACAATCACGGTAAGGCCACATGTTAACCATCTTCTATAATATGAAGCAACTAACTACCTCAGAGGAGCCTTAAGAGTCCCTGAAACCTGCAGTAACCACCTTGAAGCCATCAACACTGCCACTCTTCTGTTAAAAAAGGTGTCTAGCAGCTGGACACACTCGGTATCCCCCCCCCCACACACAGTATCATTGTGGGTTTTCCTCAGACAGGCTGAGCAAATGTTGTTGTTGTTATAGATTCAGCTACTCGGAACAAGTTCCAAGTAGCACGGGCTATGGTGAGCCCATAACTTACCTGGCACAGGAGCAGGGCAAGTAGCACGGGCTATGGTGAGCTCGTAGTGGACTTACCTGGCACAGGAGCGGGGCAAGTAGCACGGGCTATGGTGAGCTCGTAGTGGACTTACCTGGCACAGGAGCGGTGAGCAAATGATAACAGACTGTTATTATATCCTGTCCTCAGACCAAATTCTTTACCATGCAAAACCACACCCCTCCCCCTTCTATACCTGTATAGTTATCTAGATATTTGTGATGGTCTGAAAGCATATTACGGCTCCAGTAATAGTCTACTTGTAAGCTGGTAAGTGAACCTTTGTCCCAAAGAGAGATTATTTAGTTATAAATTTAATGTATTATAAATAGCTGGTTTAACATGAAAAGTGTGTGCTGAAAGTGATTTCTTTTTGGTTTTCTATAAGTGGAGTGCACTTAAATAGTTTGTAGCGAGTAGATTATCCCAATAATATACTCGCTCCAAATGCTTTGTTAATATTCCTGTCAACCTTTGGAGATGAATGAGGTGAGGCGTTGCCCGGGCAACACGGTGAGGTGTTGCCCGAGCATATAAGCAGCAGAATAGCAAACATTAACGAGAGTCTACTTTCAAGTGTGGTCTAGAGCAGACACTTGCGAGATACTGTACCGACGCTCAGTGCGCTCAACTCACACCAAAGTATCACCTGTGTACTTCTGTATATTCGACCAAATATATATATAGTATCTTAGTGTTTATTTGTCACCACACTTTACGTAACAATAGAACAGTTACAAGTTGTTCGATTGTATATTTCATATTATCGTTAATAATATATAGTATTAACATAACCCAATGTTATGGGACAATGTTTGTCCCACTACCAGACAGCGGGAACTGTTGGATAACTTAACCTGTTTTGTCCCTCCTTAGCACAGAGGAGCACAAAAACACAGCACACTTAACACAGCTTAAACACACTTAAACACAGCACACAAAAACACTTAGCACAAAGAGTCCTATATAAATACGTCACCTGAGAATCCCTCAAAGCCAAAAATCACTTATTTTTTTCCAAACTTATTAATTTTGTATCATTGTTTTGTCTTATATTTTATTTTTTTGTGTTAAAATATTCAAAATATTACTAATAGCTCCTTTGTTATCTTTACTTTTGTATATTACAACTACCGGATTGAATTTACAGTCTCCGTGGTGTAGTGGTAAGACACTCGCTGGCGTTCCGCGAGCGCTATGTCATGGGTTCGTATCCTGGCCGGGGAGGATTTACTGGGCGCAATTCCTTAACTGTAGCCTCTGTTTAACGCAACAGTAAAATGTGTACTTGGTTGTAACAACGATTCTTCGCGGCGGGGATCGTATTCCAGGGACCATAGGATTAAGGACCTGCCCGAAACGCTACGCGTACTATAGTGGCTCTACAAGAATGTAACAACTCTTGTATATATCTCAAAAAAAAAAAACTACAACTCTTCGGCTTTCTAAAGAAGGTCAATTAGGTTGTTAAATCTCTTCATATGGAAGGTTGCTAATTTCTGGGATATAAATTTGTAAAGTCATGTTGTGATACCTTTATAGATCTTTTTCTTGTTGTACATTTATAGCACTTGTGATTTTTAATTCACAATCCAAACAATAGTTGAACAAAAGTGGACATTAAGTGGAAATAATAGTGGTCACAAAATATGGACAAAAAATTTAAACATTTTTCTTGAGTAAATAAGTTTTACTGAAGTTTCAAGCATTACAAATATATATGTGATAGGCATGAGAATTATAGACACAGGCAATTCTTCTACTAGAAATCTATTAGTAGACAAGACATGCATCTTCTAGGTAGCGAGTAGTAGGCAAGCCCTTGTACTAGGAATCTGGAAGCTGAAGAAACTGGAAGAAGAATTATGCTTGAAGAGGTCAGGTTAATGTTTAGATTACTACCACTTCTGGTTGTTTGGCATATACGCTTTGCCTCTTGGCCTATACCCTGGAACTATTGGCTTATACAACTTGAACACTGGCACAGGGAGTGGCTTGAACTCTGGCACAGGGAGTGGCTTGAACTCTGGAACAGGGAGTGGCTTGAACTCTGGCACAGGGAGTGGTTTGAACACTGGCAAAGCAAATTGCTTGAACGCTGGCAAAGGAAGTGGCTTGACCACTGAGGATTCGGACAAATGTACTAAGAGTAGTTGTGTAATATCTACGAGGAGTGGCTGGATCTCTAGAAGCAGCGCCTTCACTTCTGGCTTGGACGTGAAGAAAAGCCTCGTTAGTTGATATTTCACTGGATGCAGTTCAACGAGTAGAGGCTTCAGTTCGAGAAGTAAGGGCTTCAGTTCGAGAAGTAAGGGCTTCAGTTCGAGAAGTAAGGGCTTCAAATCAATCAGAAGAGGCTTCAAATCGACCAGAAGCAGCTTTAATTCGAGGAGTAGTGTCTTCAGCTCTGGTTTGGACTCTATAAGGGTTCTCCTTAGTTCAGGGATGTAGGATCTTAGTTCAGGGATGTATGATCTTAGTTCAGGGATATAGGATCTTAGTTCAGGAATATAGGTTCTCAGTTCAGGAATATAGGTTCTCAATTTTGGAATATTGGCTCTCAATTCGGGGATAATTGACCTCAACTCGAGAAGAATCGACCTAAACTCGGGAAGAATTGACTTCAACTCGGGAAGAATTGACTTCAATTCAAAGAATATTGACTTCAGCTCAGGAAATATTGATCTTAGCTCAAGAAATATTGACCTAAACTCAGGGAGTAGGACCTTCAACTCAACTAGTAGTCTCTTCAACTCAGACTTGAATTCGAGGAGTAATCCCTTTATCTCGGACTTAGATTCGTTGAAAAGTTTCTTCAACTGAGGCTTTAATTCGATAATTAGCGACTTCAGATCTAAGAGTAATGCTTTCAACTCAGGCTTGGACTCTATGATTAATTTCTTCAGCTCTGGAAGAAAAGCCTTCAACTCTTGATTGCTTTCGATGATCAGTCGCTTCAACTCTGGCTTAGTCTCTATTATCAGAGTTTTCAACTCAGGCAGTAATGTCTTGATATCAGGCTTAGATTCGATGAGAAGTATTTTCAACTCTGGTAGTAGTGCCTTCAACTCCGGGAGCATCGCCTTCAACTGCGGCAATATTGTCTTCAAATCTGTCAATGCACCAACTGGACGAACGATACCAAACTGCTGCCCCGCGGAACCAGTTGTAAGAATATCACGAGCAGCCGTAGAGAACTGTTTCACTGGGATGGCAGAGTTCTGGAACTCAACAGGGATACGCTTGTCAACGGAAGTGGAAAGTAGACTGGAACTGATCGGAGAGTACTCAAGTGGGTACAAACCTGCATTGAAAGAAGAATCTGTTAGTAAAGTAGCAGCATTAACCGTGAGAATGCCACAACAGTCCACTGACGTTCTAGATTATATGAAAAATCAAGAAAATTTAGCTCCTATAAATCTCTAATTTTGGAAAGACCCAACATAATTGACTGATATTACTTGAACACTTAACATTTTGTTATATATATATAGAATAACAATTATATATAAAAAAATAATTGAATTTTATAGTCAGTAGTCACTACTGACTATGAACAATAGGCATAGTTACACTCGAGAATATATAATGAATAAACGGAAGTTTGCTGCCACTTATAATATATCCTTGAGTTACCCATATAACCAGACGTGGTAGAGTAATTTATCTCACCGAAACTTCTAAAATACTGAACAATTTATACAGATGGAGGTTACCTTGAGGTTACCTTGAGGTGCTAGATGGATAATCCATCCATCCTATGGATTTGAAGATGCTGATCCAGACAACTTCTTCAGAAGGTCAGATGTACCACCAACAATGAGCAACGTATTCAAACTAAACCACATGTAGAACAGAAAACAGGAGATACTTTTACACCCATAGAGCCGCCTACCCGCCGAAGCCGTAAATGACAAAACCCCTGCTACAATTTAAGACCCAAATAGATGAAATCAGGACAAATGGGGGGACTTTGACAAGCCGCCGGCTTGTCAAAGCCGGCGTCGAGGCCAATATAGTAGCTCTCGGGTAAATTTTGAATATCTTAAATGTATTTCATGGCCGAATTAGATAATATGGACACCAGAACAGAATGGACAAATTCCAGGAAATTGAAGCATTTATTTTAAGGATTACGAATATACTCAATTTGAATCCTGATCTTAAAAGCTTCATAGAAGGTTGTAACAGAACCCATGAGCACCACACCAGAAATAAATACAGTTTTGATATTCCTAGAGTATTCCTTATTTTGATATTCCTAGAGTATTCCTTAATCTAACTAGAAATGCTCTGCAAATCAAGGGGCCCAGAATGTGGAATGACCTTCCCAACCATGTTAAAGACTGTACCTCTCTCAACCAGTTTAAGATAAAAACTAAACACTACCTAATAAATTCCCTGTAATCTACCTCACTCCTCTATTGTCAACCCATGTCTGTTATTTTCTTTTTTTTTAATCAACACTGTTTGTCAACCTATTGTATTTGTGCTGCTTTTTCAGTCATGTTCCCCCGTTTTTTATCTTTATTTGTATTTGTTCTCAACACTTTTTATTCTTTATGCTCAATTAGTATTAAGTTCTAGATATTAATGTTTTTCTTGCCCGAAACGCATTGCGTAATAGTGGCTTTAGGCATTGTATGTACTAGCTCTATCTATATATCAATCCATTAATGTAACATCACTTGTATGTATATACCTTACCTGAATAAACATCTGAATCTGAATCTGAATGAAAGGGAGTGTGGATATTTGAATACGGGCAAGTAACAAAGTCAGTAGACTAACAGATGTTGTCACAGCTCGTATAAGACTTGGCTACAAGTATCTCTGGCAGTTCGGCTTGTATAGGGATCTAGATTAAGTAAAGTGTAAAGTGTGTGGACATAGGCAGGGACACACACTCGAACACTATATCTTGGATTGTAGTAAAATTGAGCCTTTTAGAGATAAATCTAAGCTCACTCTGCATGAAATGGCAACCTATCTTATTACCATGGATAAATTACCTGAAATCCTTGCACTGTATCCATATTTCGCTTCCAGTAGATGAACGACATATGAGATTCAGAAACAAGTAGTGTATTGTGAGGACTAATAATAAACAGCAGCTCCCCTATGACTCTGTAATATCTCCATTGGTCAAACTATTATGTATTAGCGATAAGACCTACCATTAATGTATGATGACTTACTGTAAATATACAGCTCTTGAAATAGCACTTTCTCTGTAACTTAAGGTGCGAATGATAGATGAAATTGTTTATGTAATAATCTAAGATGAGGTCTGATAAAGACCTTTTGTGCCCTCTGTAATGCTTTTTGCGCTACCGCTCACAGGATGAGTATGGGGTGCACAATAAACTAGTCAGCAAAACAAAATCAGTGATACACGAGTCTGAAATAGAAGGTTAGTATTCTGTGTAAGGAAAGCAGGAACTGCAGAAGACCTGTTAGACTATCGAGAGAGAGAGAGAGAAGATTAAGCCACCCAAAAGGTGGCACGGGCATGAATAGCCCGTAAGTGGTGGCCCTTTTGAGTCATTTCCAGTATCAATAGATGATACTGGAGATCGGTGGAGGTGCGACCTGCACCCTGCGTGACGGGAGATGTCTCCCGTGTTAGACTATCAAAGACTTGTTAGACTCTGCGTGTTAGACGGCACGCATAGACGCAATAAAGCACCTAAATTATTGGGATCGTCTCAAAGCCCTCCAAATGTACTCACTAGAAAGAAGACGAGAGAGATATCAAATAATATACACCTGGAAGATACTGGAGGGCCAAGTACCAAATCTACACAGTAAAATAACAACGTACTGGAGTGAACGACATGGAAGAAAATGTAGAATAGAACCAATGAAGAGCAGAGGTGCCATAGGCACAATCAGAGAACACTGTATAAACATCAGAGGTCCAGTGAAGAGCAGAGGTGCCATAGGCACAATCAGAGAACACTGTATAAACATCAGAGGTCCGCGGTTGTTCAACGTCCTCCCAGCAAGCATAAGAAATATTGCCGGAACAACAGTGGATATCTTCAAGAGGAAACTAGATTTATTCCTCCAAGGAGTGCCGGACCAACCGGGCTGTGGTGGGTATGTGGGCCTGCGTGCCGCTCCAAGCAACAGCCTAGTGGACCAAACTCTCACAAGTCGAGCCTGGCCTCGGGCCGGGCTTGGGGAGTAGAAGAACTCCCAGAACCCCATCAACCAGGTATCCGAGGCAGCTCCTATTTATATCAACCCAAACTCATATACAGTATATAATTTTATCAAATCACCTCATTTTTGGGGGCACACGTAAGGAACACAAATGCAAACAAGCCTGAATGGTCCCCAGGACTATATGCGACTGAAAACTCACACCCCAGAAGTGACTCGAACCCATACTCCCAGGAGCAACACAACTGGTAACTACAGGACGCCTTAATCCGCTTGACCATCACGACCGGACAAAAGGAAGTGATAGTCGAAGCTATTTGAACCACTTCCCCGCCGGCATTCAGATGGTAATCTTGGGCATAGCATTTTATCAAATCACCTCATTCTTTGGGGCACACGTGAGGAACACAAACGCAAAATACAGTATATATAGTATATATAGTATATAATACATAAAGTGCTTAGTTTACTTATTTTCCCGACTCTAAATCTTCGCTCCAGGCATTGTTGTCCATGGTGAACAGAGACATTAGATGATAGGAAATGCGCCCAACCATTTCTGTCCCGCCCGGGATTCGAACCCGGAATTCTCGATTGTACGTCGAGAACGAACCCAATTGTTCTACCAGGACCCCCATAACTACATTCTTATGAAGCATTCTACAAAACTAAGACTGGACAACATTGACGCAAACAGGATAGGAGAGTTGCCCGAAACGCTTTGCGTAATAGTGGCTTTAGGCATTGTATGTACTAGCTCTATCTATAAAGCCAACAAACTTTGTAAAATCTCTTTATGTATGTACCTTACCTAAATAAAAATTATTATTATTATATATTATAGTTGACCTGCCAGAACCCATTACAGATACAGTCCTTTGCCTGGCCCCTGCCTAACCTTCGCATGAAGCAATTCACCAATACACACAAAAATCACAATAGCATGATGCATGAAATGAACAAATCCACAAGGCTGAGGGTTCGAACTTACGCTCGGGATGATCCCAGACGCTGTCTTAGTCGACTAGGCAACGACATGGTCAAAAGAATTGTAACTGGGAGTTCTTAACGACATGGTAACTGGTCAGTTACATCAGATCTTATCGTGGCCTATTCGACTAAGGCAGCGTCTGGGATCATCCCGGGCGTAAGTTCGAACTTACAGATTCGTTAATCCTTATGGATTTGTTAATCCAGCCATTCTTAGTCCATTGTGTTACTCGGTATTTTGTTCCATAAATAAACAACCAAAGGTTTTTTTAATCTAAACTTATCCAGTTTGTACCTGCTGTATATAAGAATCTTATATAATTATAAGATTATATAAGATGGTTTCTAAACTAGGAACACAGATTTCTTATACAAACACTAGGAGAAACAATTTAAATTCTAAATTTTTAACATGTTAATTTGGAATAAATGACTTTTGAACTTTCTTATTAAAGAGTGAACTTTTGACTCATATGTATAAACATGTATAAATAACATGTATAAAAACATTTATACATGTTCAATAATTTAGTTCTTGTCAATGACAACAACTAAATTATTCTAGTGTATAATTTAAGAGCTATATATCGTAAAATTCAATACACAATTCTGGTTCATTAAATTACCACATTGAGAGAGAGTACTTTAAACAGGCGATGAGTCGATTGATTGATTGATGATTGATGAAGATTAAGCCACCCAAGAGGTGGCACGGGCATGAATAGCCCGTAAGTGGTGGCCCTTTTGAGCCATTGCCAGTATCAAAAGATGATACTGGAGATCTGTGGAGGCGCAACTGCACCCTGCGTGACGGGAGATGTCTCCCGGACCAAATGGTGACCAAATGGTGGCGATGAGTCACAGTAACGTGGTTAAAGTATGTTGACCCGTGACACTAGATGGTGAAGGGACGACGACGTTTCGGTCCGTCCTGGACCATTCTCAAGTAGATTGTCATCTCAAGTCGATCACAATCGACTTGAGAATGGCCCAGGACAGACCGAAACGTCGTCGTCCCTTCACCTTCTAGTGTGTGGTCTGGTCAACAGAGTACTTTAAGTTCAGTGAATGTACAGTTTACGAAACTATATTGAAGTCTTTATCAGTGACGTAGTGACGTTCCAACTGGAAAACAATGAAGATGATATATTTATTATTTCAACAAATATATATATTTATTAGAAGTCAACAAACTTACCAGCATCCTGGCGGAGTACTGGACGGTTCCTGCGGTTGTGGTTGGCGGCGGCGAGCCCGGCGAGCGCCAGCAGTAGCAGGTGGAGGAAGGTCCCAGACATGGTGCTGTTGAACGTGTTCCTTGTCACTGTCAAATTCCGCCACCATCTTGGCCTTTTATGTGCTACCTTCCCCTCACTTTGCCCACCTTCTCATTATTGGGTTTAGGGAAATTTGGAAATTAGGGAATTAATTCTCGTGAAGCACAGTATTAATGTTACTAATGTATTAATGTTACTGATGTATTAATGATACTAATGTTATGTACAGCATAACAAATAAGGGATCTCACGGTGCTCACGTATATCATAAATATCACAGGGACTGCCTCTCCCTTTCCACAACACACGAAGGCTTTCATAGGCTGTAATATCTGCTGACATTGACCCAACAATCTGTTCATTTCAGTCTCCAAACTCTCATGGGTACATCCAACATATGTGGCTAAATATTAATATAATTTAACACTTTTTTCAGACTTCCCAGCTTAATGGTAATGTAATAGGCTTCCGACTTCAACATACAACCTGGTTTTGTCTTCATTAACCATTCCCAAATGGTGACACAGGTCTCAGAAGACGGGAGACATCTCCCGTCACGCAGGGTGCAGTCGCACCTCCACAGATCTCCAGTATGAGCTATTGATACTGGTAATGGCTCAAAAGGGCCACCACTTACGGGCTATTCATGCCCGTGCCACCTCTTGGGTGACTTAATCTTCATCAATCATCGGTCTCAGAATTTGTCCAGCCCCTTTTGAATATTTAGAATATCGTTACCCTGAAACAAAATATCACCTGCACATAGTACATTTTTTTTAACTCCAAGACCAGATAGTTCACAGTACTATTCCAGCCGTGGTCGAGGAAGGGTGCGTCCTGGAGCGCTCTAGAAAGATGTGAACTTGTGAATCAGAGACTTTGATGGAGAATGAACAACACGATTCTAGACCTTTTCAGGTAGCAATGACCACGAGGTACAAACGGAAACGTGCGCGCAGAGAGTTAAGTGATACTGGCAGTGATGAACGAGCTAAGAAGTGTAGTGATCGACGGCAGACGGGACCTGGGTTACAAAGTTCTATACAAACTCAGCAGGAAAATCTGACCTGAAGAATGGAACAAGACCACATACAGCAAGAGGTACGGATTAATGGAAGGAAGAGGCTGTTATTTACTTTGGCATGTCCCACTTACTTTTCATCAGAAGCTGGAGTGGACCGTTCAATTGGCCAAGGAATTTGGTGAATATGAACCAATTTTTAAGGAGAGTGTTCACCGGCCCTACATAACGGGCGGGACAGAATAGGCAGTGGAACATCTAACGACTGACAGGTTAAGTTATTCCTGAGGTCGGCATAATTTACAATAAAGTTATTGTTGGCGAGGAGTCACAATAACGTGGCTAAAGTATGTTGTCCAGACCACACACTAGAAGGTGAAGTGACGACGACGTTTCGGTCCGTCCTGGACCATTCTCAAGTCGATTGTGAGAAATCGACTTGAGAATGGTCCAGGACGGACCGAAACGTCGTCTTCCCTTCACCTTCTAGTGTGTGGTCTGGTCAACAAAGTTATTGTTTTTAGATATCCGACATACTTGGATCCTGAATTTCTTCATCTCATCAATTAAAGTGTTGTATGAAAAACATTGAACTAAGAACAAAAAACAAAACAAAGAGGAACATTGTGTGCGGTGAAAAACAAAGTCAGATTGTTGCCTTGTTAAAAGGTGAGGCTCCAGACAGACTCTTTGTGCAAGGACTTGGATACAGGAAAGTGGCAAAATATATTAAGGAGCCTACATTATGCATGAAGTGTTCTGTTTGGTGGACATATGACTTGTAAATATCAATTTGACCCCAGATGTTGGTATAGTGGTAAGAAACATGACTTGCGACGGTGTAGTCAGGACTGACAAAGAAGAATTTATTTTTTGCCATCTTGCTGCATTTGTGGAGGCATCCACACAGCTAGTTCCGCTCTCTCTCATGCAGCCCCATGTGAGAAATGCCAAGCCGGCAACCATAAGTAAAGTATACGAGGCCCCGATGGAAGGCAAGATCGTACAGCAGGAACAAGGAAGACACTGTGGAACAACGATAGCCTCAGTGACCAACGTTTGTGAGAAAGTCACGGCGACGATTAAGGATAGCCTAGTGGCAGTAAGAGACCAAGCCTAAGTGTACCCTAGTGATGAGGTGTAAGGCAGCGTCGTGGATTCTGAGGTCGGTACACAAGGAAGATATTGGAATACCTCGAAAAGTTGATTTTGTTTTTATTTATCTGTACAAGAAATATTACATTTTTGTACAGCCACTAGCACGTATAGCGTTTGGGTCAAGTCCTTAATCCTAATTTCCACACACTCATTCCAGGAAGTAGCCCGTAGCAGCTAATTCCTAATTTTCACACACATCCCAAGGAAGCAGCCCGTAGCAGCTGTCTAGCTCCCAGATTTACCGCTAGGTGAACAGGCGCGTCAGGGTGAAAGAAAATCTTCCCATTTGTTTCCGCCTCCGCCGGGAATCGAACCCAGACCCTGAAGACTACTAATCACGAGCATTGTCCACTTCGCCGTCAGGCCCCCTTACAAGTGAATTGAAGCTCTAGAAAAGTTAGCTATAGCAAACAGATAGGCATGGGAGACATCTCCCGTCCACGAGGCTCACCATAGCCCGTGCTTCTTGCCCCGCTCCTGTGCCAGGTAAGTTACGGGCTCACCATAGCCCGTGCTTCTTGCCCCGCTCCTGTGCCAGGTAAGTTACGGGCTCACCATAGCCCGTGCTTCTTGCCCCGCTCCTGTGCCAGGTAAGTTACGGGCTCACCATAGCCCGTGCTTCTTGCCCCGCTCCTGTGCCAGGTAAGTTACGGGCTCACCATAGCCCGTGCTTCTTGCCCCGCTCCTGTGCCAGGTAAGTTACGGGCTCACCATAGCCCGTGCTTCTTGCCCCGCTCCTGTGCCAGGTAAGTTACGGGCTCACCATAGCCCGTGCTACTTGCCCCGCTCCTGTGCCAGGTAAGTTACGGGCTCACCATAGCCCGTGCTTCTTGCCCCGCTCCTGTGCCAGGTAAGTTACGGGCTCACCATAGCCCGTGCTACTTGCCCCGCTCCTGTGCCAGGTAAGTTACGGGCTCACCATAGCCCGTGCTACTTGCCCCGCTCCTGTGCCAGGTAAGTTACGGGCTCACCATAGCCCGTGCTTCTTGCCCCGCTCCTGTGCCAGGTAAGTTACGGGCTCACCATAGCCCGTGCTTCTTGCCCCGCTCCTGTGCCAGGTAAGTTACGGGCTCACCATAGCCCGTGCTACTGGAACTTATTGTTCTGAGTAGCGAATCTTAAACAACAACAACAAACAGATAGGGTGTAGTGGGGAATGAAAGTAAGGAAGAGGATGGTGTATCACGGGTGAAAGAGTCTCAGGAAAATGAACTATTCACTAATGATGGCAGTGGTCAACCCCGTGTCATGGAAAATGTTGGCGGAGAAGTTCAGGAAAAATGTTTTACAAAAATAGAATTGGAAGTCATTGTTAAGAATAGAGTTACCTTCGAAGGTAATAGGGGGTTATCTTGAGATGATTTCGGGGCTTTAGTGTCCCCGCGGCTCGGTCCTCGACCAGACCTCCACCCACCCCCCCCCCCAGGAAGCAGCCCGTGACAGCTGACTAACACCCAGGTACAAATTTTACTGCTAGATAACAGGGGCATAGGGTGAAAGAAACTCTGCCCACTGTTTCTCGCCCACGCCCGAGATTGAACCCGGGACCACAGGATCACAAGCCCAGCGTGCTGTCCGCTCAGCCGACCGGCTCAGCATTTGTACACTGGGGGTGTGCAAATGCTGAGCAAGAAGAAATTTCAAAATGTTGGGAGTCTCTGGCTAAGGTGATAGTGTTAATAGGTTTTTCGGTAAATGAAATACATTCCTGTAGAACATCATGCTCTGTAACATTAGAACATAAGGATCTTATTATGCTTCACATGCATTATTCATTTCTTCCCACCTTTTAAAATGAGAGGATTAATTCATTAGCTCCCTCGCCTCACGTTAGGCTAATCGCCGAAGCCTCATTTATCTCTGAAATTCTATCCCCCAATACTCTGTATGTTCAATCATATCATAATTATCTCAGTAATACTATTTCTTGGGCAATGAGAATAATCTTGGAATTATTCCCAAGATTATTAGATAATCTTGGGATTATTCCCATGGCTTAAATTTTTTACTTTCTCCAATTTGTTTAGTCTGCCTTTACCAAAACAAGAAATGGCAGAGGCAGCATAATCAATAAGAGCTCTCACAGTATGCCATGTGATTACCATTGGAATGTAAAATGTAGAATATGATTAATAATTGTGTACTGTATGGGTTTGTGAGCCCCCTTAAGGGACCTCATATAGACGAGGGTAGAAATAGCCTAAGCTACTCTATTCTTTTAAGAACATAAGAACATAAGAACAAAGGTAACTGCAGAAGGCCTATTGGCCCATACGAGGCAGCTCCTATTCTATAACCACCCAATCCCACTCATATACTTGTCCAACCCGTGCTTGAAACAATCGAGGGACCCCACCTCCACAATGTTACGCGGCAATTGGTTCCACAAATCAACAACCCTGTTACTGAACCAGTATTTACCCAAGTCTTTCCTAAATCTAAACTTATCCAATTTATATCCATTGTTTCGTGTTCTGTCCTGTGCTGACACTTTTAATACCCTATTAATATCCCCCCGGTTATGTCCATTCATCCACTTGTAAACCTCATAAGAACATAAGAACATAAGAACAAAGGTAACTGCAGAAGGCCTATTGGCCCATACGAGGCAGCTCCTATTCTATAACCACCCAATCCCACTCATATACTTGTCCAACCCGTGCTTGAAACAATCGAGGGACCCCACCTCCACAATGTTACGCGGCAATTGGTTCCACAAATCAACAACCCTGTTACTGAACCAGTATTTACCCAAGTCTTTCCTAAATCTAAACTTATCCAATTTATATCCATTGTTTCGTGTTCTGTCCTGTGTTGATACTTTTAATACCCTATTAATATC